AAAAGAACCGGCACTAAAAGAAGAGTTCATTTTTATTTTTGAATCTCCTGACGAGATAATTATACTACAATATTATAGTTAATAATATTGAATTATAAATGTAGACAGCGGCCCACCGGGAATTTTCCAATTTCCCAGTGGGCCAATCCGTCCCTGATTGTGTAGTATTATACTATTATGTGAAGAAGGAAGAAGTACAGAAGTCAATTTCTGATATTAACTATTTGCGCTATGTACTCGTATATATTCGTTTGCTTAGTATTGTATTTAAATGTTTTTAATGTTATTCATCAATAAACGATGGCAGCAGAGGAGTAATATTGTGCAAACAGACCCTCCTTTACTGTCTATTCTAAATCAGAAAAAAAAAAGTATAATATGGTACATGGCTCTAATATAGGTTAGGTACAAGGCGTATTATTGCAAATTTGGCATTTGCACTGCAGAGAATATTTAAAGTAATGATTACCTACTAGATGGCTCTTTGRTGAATTTTTTTAGTAGARGAAAAGCCAGTATATAGGTGAAACCAACCTGTCTCAAACGTTTTTTTTATTCACTATATGACTAATATGTCACATGTAAGCACTTTATATGTTAAAATATGCATATAGCCATATATAGGTCTATATATAATGTTATTAAACAAGATAAAATGGCAACGTATAAGGTCGTAAGGGTATAGTTATGTTAGTAAGAAATGTCCAAGAAAAAATGTTACTATATACTTGTTTTTATTTACATACGTTTTATTGTGTTAAAATAATACAGCGAATGCTATATATACTACTGCGAAATTATTAAATAGGTATTATCATTACCTAGCTCTGTCCCCTATAGTATTTACTAATTAATTATGTTAAAAAATAAAATATTTAAATCAACAAATTTTTACAGTCTATTTTTATAATAGGTACCATGAAATATTCTTCAAAATTTAATGAATATWTCTAAGTTTGAGACACCTGCTCGAGTAAAATATATAAACAACTTTATTTATATAATTATAAACATAGCGGGCTGATCACTCTGGTCTAATTATATTTAATACCTACACCTTGACTCTTGAGTAAAAACGTAAGCTTTAATGAAAAATAAAATTTAATTTTTAAATTTCAGACTTTTTTTCATGGAAATCTCTTTAAAATTGAATTTCTGAAATTTGACATCATTAAGTACAGTCCATGGCTTCGCGCTCAACTGTTTAAGTTATAACCTTAAGTTGCAGTTTGAATTCTTTAACGTGATAAAATTATAGGTGTACTTGTGTACTATTATTGCATTATTGCAATAACGTATGTAGTATATTTAAGCCATGTACAGACGTACAGTACATGTCATGGCCCATGGGTATTATGATCATTGATTAAGAAAACAATAACTATTTACGTAAGTAATCCACTAATCCCATATAATATATTAAAGTATTAAAGCATAATATGTATATACTAGCTATTATGGATAGCTCAGTTTATTATTTATTTTTATATTAAATGTATAGGTCTACCTATGTTATATAAAATATCTATTGTTTCTTACAATTTAAGTTTGTTGACCATTATCGTTTCCCTCAAAAAATAAATATTGAAGAGTATTTCTTCGACAAGAATCCAATTGTTTGTGTACTGATCAAAATAACACTTGTTTTCATTAATTCAATATCCTCTAAACAGTCTTAACTGGATATTCAGTTTTTCGAGAGAGTCAACTTTTGAATTTCCCAGTTTCAAATAAGGTTATTTCTACATTCAACTTTTTCTACTTTAAAACTGGTCCACATATAGTAGACATAATTACAATACATTTATTAGTGACATTGCTTTAACTGTAATCTTAAAATGCATAAAAGAATATTTTACAACGGGGCAGTAGTTTTTTTTTAACAATTTATTGTACTAATTTTAGATTCTGAGTGGAGTGAGGAATGTATATTGGTTTTACAATGGTGTTTATTTTTTATTTTTTTTATTCTGTAAAAACTTTTTCTCCCTCTAAACTTGCCTTAAAGTATCAAGTGTAGCATTTTTTCTGAAAAGTAATGTTCTTGAGCTAGTACTTTAAAAAGGTCATTTTTTGATTTTTGAAACGGTACTCGAAATAAAAGAGGTTAAAGGAGAAAAAACGTACGATTTCACGATTTTATAATATTATTAAATAATTACGGACGTTTTCTATTAGAAATATTGCTTCAAATGAAAAAAATTACAAGAAATGTTTTYTGTTGTACCTATTTTAGATTTTGTTCCTAACGGTTTTAAGTTCGGAAAATTTTAGACATTTTTGAGCTATTTATAGACAATTTAATTTTGTAAGTTTTTGTTGTAATTGCGGCTTTTGAGCTTTTTCTTTCTTTTAATTTTTATGATATTTTCTAATTATAAATTATAATTATAATTATATAAATTACCTATTAATATAGGTAAATCGTTCTTAATCTATTCTTATATAACGCTTTTTGTATTACCATAGAAACGAATAAAATTTAAAAAAAAAGATTCCCTCCTCCGCTCAGAAATGCTGACCTACTCTTTTTCTTTATACCCTTTTTAAGTTTTCTTTCGATTTTTTTACCCAAGACAATTAGACAATGATTGACTCAATATTTGGCTTTTTCTTCTAAATTAAAAAATAACAATAATCCCTACTCTTTAGACCTACATGATAATTGATAAGTGAATACAATTTACATAAAGCTTACGTATTAYTAATTATGGGCTGTTTTTCAGGCCAAAAATAATTATTATTTATTAGTGAAATTTATATTTATTTTTCCAGGTAAAAGAAATGTATTATTATAATGTAGGATTTACATGTTGACCAATCCAATTTCTACTTTCTTTAAATCAGTGGAATTTACATTCGTCGTAGACACGACGTCTAACATATTTTTTATTTAGCAAATGCCAAATATATAATTATAGCCATTATAGGATTATAGGATCATACTATACTTATTTTTATATAATGTAATGTTCTATGGTATGGAATATAATATTATTTTCCATTTATTATTTTCCATTTTATCCACAAATACAAACATAGTGTGCATACTATTTTACCAATTAAAAATTAAAATGTTACTGATTCATTCCTGTCATGTTGCACTCCTGTAATTTTACCAACCGCCATTTTTATACTTTGCCTTTGTGTTTCAGCTTTCGGTACGTTAAACGTTTACGTAATGCATTATGTTAAATCCTAAAATAATTTTTTGTTTTTTGACTACCTACATGTGTATATTAGTTTGCAAGTGCATACGCTTTAGACACGTCAAACGTCACAAACTTACTACAACTCGTCAGTGTCTTTGTCTGTTTAGTTTTTTCATTTCTTCAGTCATCGTCTTCGAATACTTCAGTAGGTATTATTTTCTTACTTTATACGACATTCCAAAAAAACTTATATTTTATATTTTACTATTTAAGTCTATGAGTTATGTTGTTCATAATGTTTAAGTAAGTAATTTGTACWTATCAAAGCTTTGTCTATTTTTTAAATTGTTATAAATGTGTCATTTTTGTGGTGTAGTTTTTATAATTAAAATATATTTTTTTWAAGYTTGATTGGTCTTATTGGAAATGAAGCTTCTTGAGGTTGAATGATATTGATCAAGTGTTTCACCGAAAACCTCTCTTCATTATATAGTTAATTTACCACTGCCACATTCTAATTGAAATAGTCTCGAAATGAATCAACCAGAGCAAAATCCTAGATTACAAGACGTTTGTGAGGAAATTGATAAAGCTAGTTCGCCAAATAATACAACTTTCCATAGTTTTAATGTAAGTACCTAGGTCACTGTATTGAAATAATTATATCTACCTGACTGAAATAATTATATATTTAGAATAAATTGTTTGCAAGATGTTTTAATTAATTTTTTTTTAATTGTAGGTTAATCATAAATATAGACCATAATAGTCTAAAATTGGTTTCTATTATTATTTTTACTTTGCTATCAGCTCCTATAATCCCCTCTTTAGTTTAATTACAAAATTCTGTGGTTTAATCTTCATTTATAATCTTTAATTATGTCTCATTGATGATAATCATAATAACTATTATTATTTATTATTATTTATTATTATTTATTATTCTGTAAAAAAATGTTTTAATCATAATTTAAATTTCTATAGAATACAGGAATCATTCCTGAATCAGTCATGGAAAACAGTGGTCTTAATCGAGACCTTTGCGATCCTGTAAAATACTTTGATYTACAACGCATGATGGTTGATCAAAATAATATAACGATGGCTTTGAAAATGTCCGAGTATGAAAAAGCATTAGCTGAAAGGGATTACACTATTAAATCCTTGCATACAAATATGATCAATTCTCAAAATAATAACTATATTCTAAATAACCAGTGCAAGAATATAATGGAAAAGTAATGAGTTTTTACAAGATATTTTTCTTCATTTTAAAAAAATGTGCATATATTTTTCTCATAATATATGCAAAATTTACATCTTTATTTCTTATCTATACAAGTATTTTTGATAAATTGAGTTATAATATTTAAACTGGTAATGTTATGAAATTTAAATTACATATAGGTATTCAAAAATATAATATTTTATAATACTTAAAAAAATAGCTATATTTATTTTGATTAAGAGAATCAAGAGAATAGTATAACTATGTTCTGATCAAAACAAGTTTAATCTCACTTATCCCTCACCTATTTGGCATATTATTGGTTACATTTAAAAGTGGCCATTAATTTTTGGTAACCCTTAGTGTGTATAGCATACTGCCGACTATCACATAGTAAAGGAAACGGTGCCATGTAATAGCCTCTGCTATTAGTGCAAGATGGTTTACTTCTCTCATTGGCCTGGAGTATATGTTATAACATAATCTTTTTAAAATATTTTCTCTTAATTTTTTATACCTATCTATTCAATAATAATAATAATAATATTTACCTAAATAATTCATTAAATACTAAAATTATTCAATATCAAAGTTCATTTATAATAAATGAGTAAAAAATGAAAAGAAAGCCTATTAAAATGTGGATATACTACATAATTATTGAATACATAATTTTATTTCAGAACAAAGTCAGTAAATGATACCTGTATCCGCCTAAATACAAGTTTCACAAATATTTGTGAGCGTTTAAACAGACTTGGCGACACTGTAGATAATGCAAGAATCAGACAAAAAGAAGTTATGACATTAGTAGATCAAACTACTAGTACATTTCAAGAAAAAATTTTAAGTATTTCAGATACTCTTGATGAGTCATTAAAACAAGGTATTATTGTAGGCATTATTATATAATTAAAATATAATTAT